GAAGCAACAGCAAGGGTGAAATCATTACTGCTTAACTATTTTCTTGTTTTCTTCATCTCCCTCCTTCCATTTCGTGTCTAAACCGTGGTTTGCTATGTATTCTCCCATGCAGATGATATTTGATTTGACCGCAAAAAAACTCATCAGTTATGATTCAACCAAATCCTCGGAGAACTTAAGGGACAACTTTGTTGCATTTATACAAGGACTCATCTCCTTCCCTCTGGACGTTCCAGGAACAGCTTATCACAAATGTCTGCAGGTAAGTCCATATCATCCACCCAAACTTCTGGTAGCTTCTACAATATTACATGGATTTAGTAAGAATTGGTGTGAATTACTTATTAAATGGTGTAACTGCATAACTGATTCTTAAGTTTAAGAAGGCTGTAAGCATTGGAGAAGCTAAGAGAACTTAAATAGTGTTGTATGCTTAGTAGGCCAACCCAGAAGCAAAAGAAAAGATGTCATCCCAGAAGATGGGCATACAAAAAGTAGTTTCTTTTAATGTGTGAAAGATTGAAAAACATCTTTTGTCTGCGATCTTTCTCAGGGTAGGAAAAGGGCAATGAAGATGCTGAAGAAGATGCTGCAGGAAAGACGGGAAATGCAAAAGAAAGAGCAAGAAGATTTCTTTGACTATGTGATTGAAGAACTTAAGAAAGAGGGAACAGTCCTGACTGAAGCGATCGCTCTGGACCTCATGTTTGTGCTCCTATTTGCAAGCTTTGAAACCACTTCTCTCGCTCTCACTTACGCCACCAAAGTACTCTCGGACCATCCCTTAGTACTCAAGCAATTACAAGTGCGTCAAAAATATATTAAAATCTTTGAACTACTTTCACGACTTTTTCTTTTTTACGTTCCTCGTTTTGACTCCATATATATATATATATACTAAACGAAAAGGCTGTGACTTTCAGGAGGAACATGAAGCCATCCTGAAGCGACGTGAAGATCCTAACTCCGGAATCACGTGGAAAGAATACAAATCAATGACATATACATTTCAGGTTTTTTTCTTGAGTGAAAGTTTGATGTAAATTTCTACGTGCGTGAACGTATCTCATTTAAAAGTCGATGACGATTTGCAGTTCATAAATGAAACCGTGAGACTCGCAAATATAGTTCCTGGAATCTTCCGGAAGGCACTGAGGGAAATTAACTTTAAGGGTACGTATGTCGTGTGTTTATTTTCACAGATATCGTTCCTTCATTCATTCATTTCACATTACCAAAAGACAGTTTTTGATGGCTTAGTCTGATATGCAACATAGCCAATTATTGGAGTAGTTAGAAATAAAATTGAATGAGGTGGAATGTATACAAGTCCAGTGCATACATAGCTATATGTTGTATTTAAAAAAGCGTTCACAATATTACGTCATTTGGTCAATCAATGAATGCATTCATACATAAATGCAGGATATACCATACCAAAAGGTTGGGCAGTAATGGTGTGTCCGCCTGCTGTGCACTTGAATCCGGCCAAATATCAGGATCCTCTTTCCTTCAACCCACGGAGATGGGAGGTGCGTCTAAGGCATGTTTTTTTTAAATAAAATAATTATTAAGTGTAACTTTTTTCTGGTCCGGTTATATTTTTAAAATACAGTAAAATGCTGTTTTAAATGTATATTTCAATAATTATTAGTGAAATAAAGAAAAATGAAAAGAAAAATTGTGTTCTAATAATTAGAGACGCTTATTTAATTAAAGCTGCTTTAGCTGCTGGGTACCAGCTGGCTATTATTAGATGCAAGCAACTTATAATTTAGTCATTTATATCTCTTTTGTACGCACTAGTGACCCCGAAAAATTGGGCTTTCAGGGAATTGAACTAAATGGTGCCACAAAACATTTCATGGCTTTCGGTGGAGGCATGAGATTTTGCGTTGGAACAGACTTCACTAAAGTTCAGATGGCTATATTTCTTCATTGTTTGGTAACGAAATACCGGTAATATAAATGACACAACAGCGTGTCCTCCTGTGAACTTAAATTGAGATGCAAAGTCTCTCTTTTAACAAATGAATAATATTTCAGGTGGCGACCCGTGAAAGGAGGAAATATCGTTCGAACTCCTGGTTTACAATTTCCAAATGGCTTTCACGTCCAGATCATGGAGAAAGATCAAACGAAACAGGAACCAGAGTTTGACGAAACAAAGTAGAAACCAAAACTCCGCCAGAGAGACTAGTGTATGGTACAAATTTAGGCTTGAAATCTCCCCTGTCCTTGGCATTTTTAAGGAAAAGCGAGGCAACGCAATTGTTACGGAAGCCACAAATGTAACCATAATGACGGTCTCTCACTCAGTTTTGATTAGGTCTCTTCAAATTGTGTTTTTATTAGATTTTCTTCTCAATATATTCAAAAATATGACCTTCCCTACCTTACAAAAAGGCAGTGAGGGAAGGGAAGGAAAGTTGTACTTGTAACAAGTGGTGTAAATGTTTCAGATTATATCCCGAGCTAATATACAATCTGCTTTTGAAATTCATAACTTTTACTGCTTGCAAGTTGCATTCGTAATGGTTTTCACCAATGTAAGTAGTCAATTGAGGAAGTTGACGCTGAGGTATGGTACTTGTTAGGAAGTGCATACTTTTAAGGACCAAATTGTTGATTGGCTATTTCTTTTCTATTAAAATGTCTTCCACACTAAATCCTAATAATATCTTTCAATAACTCTCCTTCCCCAATTGTAGTCCAACCCACCTTATTAGATAATAATAGAAAGTTAGAAAGATTAGTAGTGGAAACGGGAGAAGGTAAAAGGATAAAGCGTAACCATGATTCTATGAAGTAGGTATATCAACTAGCAAGTTGCTGTTAAACTTTGGTGTCTGAAATTAAAAAAAAAGATGTCCGCATTAAGTTGTAAGTTCGGGCTTCAATCTACTCATCCTCTGGCTCATCTAGCTGAACTTGTCTGCGTTTGCCATAATTTTCTTGCCTCACTTTATCATGCTTTATCTTCTTCTCTTTAAGTTGTCCCTCTGAACTATCCCATTTCTTTCTGTGTTTGTGGTGTGCAGGATGGTCAGCAGTATGCTGCCGATTATCCATGTTCTTTTTCTTATGACCATGTTTGTGCATTTCTTTATGAACATGGTGTGAATGATCAAAATAATCGGAATTCCTTTCAGAATGCTTGTGCATTTCTTTATGAACATGTAAATCATCAAAATAATCAGAGCTCCTTCCCGAATGCTTGAGTTTATGCTCATAAGCGGTCCTTCGCCTATATCGAGCATTATAGTTAGGGCGCCTAAACTCTTGCTTGTGATGGTTGCTGTCATGAATATGGTGATGTCCCTTGTCAGTTGTGGTTTTGCGTTTATCCATGACGATTTGTTCATCAGCGTCTAAGAGATCGTCCCACCAGTCATAAAGAGGATCAAATAGACCCTTTTGGTGTAAAAGCCATAATAGTACAAGCACTGCAATTCAAATAATAGTATTTATTTTAAGTTGCTCTGCTGAATGTACAAATTATATAGTAACTAATAGACATTGAATAGAAATCATACCTGTCGGAAAAATTGCCAAAAACAGACCAAACATCATTACCCAACTCAAGCATACATATTGTATGTGGCACTTGAAGTCAAAAAACCCAGAGCATTTTTGTCTTTTCTCCCACCCAGACCGAGACGCGTGGAAGAAATTTTATCAAGTATTCAAGACATATGAATCAAATATTAAATAAAAGGTTTATGGTTATGAAAGCAAAATGTAGTTATTGATATTCCAATACCCTGCTTCAATGTTCAGGTAATAGTTTATAACGAAAAATTAAATTACTAAGAACAGATAGATGGCAAAACTCATTATCAGTCTATTACAAACGTCATGAAGGAAATAGGAAGGATTTTATGCAAATGGAACTAGAGTAAAGTTGAATACGTGCACCAACTTTTTGTGTAATTTTGATACTGACTAAATTTCAGAACAGTTTTTTCATAAAATAATCCCAGTTTTAATCCTTTATGCTTTAATGACTGAATATTCCAAAGATTGTCTTCAAGGCTTTCACGTGTTCACGACAGTCAGTGCTACTAATCCGTGTTTGGTGTGTAGAATTTCTAATCAAAGTGGGTGGTGTCAATGAAGAAATATATATAACTATCAAAGCAACTCTAGATATTGCCAAAGAATAAAAATGATACAAAATTTAGGAAATTCATATTTTGTATTTTATGTTAGAATTTAAATTGTATAGTTCGCAAATACAAAGCATAGTAGAAATAATAATACCTACAAGTTCTTCCAGTCATAAATTCTGTTAAGCTGTTCCAAAGTTTATTCCATAAGTTTTCAATAGAATCAAAGAAACCATTTAAACTTGTCTCCGGTGGTTGAAAAGGCATCCCCTGCAGAAATAGGAGATTTAGAGATTCAAAATTTGTTGCGATAACACCCCAATAACTAGCATATACTCTGAAGCAACCAGAAAGACTACCTTTTGATTACGTTAATATATCTACGGGAAAAACGGTATACAGTGTCCATTAATGCCTGCTATAGGATTTCACGCGAAGTTTCAAATAAGAAAAAACAAGACAAATTAATTGTTCATTTACGCAAAACATTTTCAAAACCCGGTAGTTGCTATAGTTTTTCATGCTCAAAATTCCCACCGATCCATTAGGAGCATGTGCAACTTAAGTGCCACCATCTCATCCCCAATATATTTCATAAAAGTATGGAAATTAAAAATGCGTCTAAAAAACCACGTAGCATGGAGCTTTTAGGAATTTCCCACTCACTCGGCAACACTTCTATTACATTCACCATGAAAATAAATTGAAGTTGACGGATAACATCAAATAAATAAAGTCAGAAGGTATTTAGTTTCTTGATAAAGTAAATATAAGTGAGAAATAATAAAATGTTTTCTAAAAGTTGTATAATTTAATTAACTTGATAGAAGAGAAGGAGACTTCCCACAATTTTTTGTCCCATAATTTTTTAAACTTATTTTTCACATCTTTCATCCATCAAACATCCTATTTTATTTCGCTCTTCAATCCATCATCTCCATCTCCAAGATTAAACAAGGCATGAACCCATTCATAAGCTATACAGCGGGGCCCTTCATGTTTGTCGGGGGGCTGGAAGGTGGGGGGATCTTTTTCTCATAATATGTATCAGTTGCAGCTTCAAAGGACATAATGGCAACGTAGTATACAGATTGAAACAAAGTTTCATATTACTTGAGAAATAGGTCTTTCTAGCTAGACAGAAAGAAGCTATATGGGTTAAAACAAATTCATCGTGTTCATAGTCATTGAGAATAATGCGTGCTAAATTTCAGGACCAGGAAAGACAAACCTGTGTGCCATTGTCAAAGAACAGTGCCGGTCGTAGCAAATTGACATTCGGCTCTATCAACTTCATTATAATCAGAGTCCTTTAATATGGCTTTGTTAAAAACGTCCCAGAAAAAGAAACAAAGTGAATATCAATGAGTTTTTTATCCTCAGAACAAATAGCAAGGTATCCATCCTAAGTTTCAACTTTACCCGCACAAAAATATTTTGAAGCTTGATCATTGCTGGGGTAGAGTTTGAACGATCTGGTTGTAATCTCATTTGGCTTCATTATTAAAAATTGCTCCTGAAGCATGTTTAAAAAAACGTATAACAGAGAACCTACGGAAGGGGCAAAAAACAGATTGCTGACATATGTTTTAGCATAATACCTCCATCAGGGTGATATCCTTGGAGCAATTAAACTGCAAGACAAAACAATCAATGTAGAAAGGCTAAAACTACAGCTTGTTGGACCCTCCAAAAAATTACTGCAATGCAAGACTCAAATATTTTAACCAAAATTTTTGTAACCCTAATAGAACAAAAGCATCCGGAGCAGCATGCACCTCTTAAATTCATATTTATGTCATAACTAATTAGAGATTATTTTGTTAGGAAATGAGATTTTTCTAAAGTCAAACTTTGTGGAAAATTTGGAAAACTTAGTTGTTTTTTGTAAAACTTGTTTATTAAGTTTTGGTTTTGTGGAAAAGTAGACATATGTCTCTTATAAATAAGAGAGAAATCCTTTGTAGAATAACAAGTCACTGCACTCATGCATTGCAGTAGAGTCTTTGTCTATCTATTCTTTCATAGTGTATCTTCACAAGAAAATCTCTCGTCTTTGTTTTTTCTCTAGTTCTACAACCTTTATGTATTTTCTGATCTACAACATGCTATCAAACTTGGAGTATCCAAGAAAAATCTCAAGAAGTGTTAGAAAAATCTCAAGAAGGATCTCAAGAAAAATCTCATAAATTTCAGCGGAAAAATCGTTATCATCATCATCTAAATCTTTTTCTTGAAGTTTTGAATATTGATCTTGGAGATTGTCTACTCCAGATGTTACAGGATATACAATCCTTTGACAGAAAAATTTCTTATTTCTAGAAATGTGAAATTTGATGAGTTCTCTGGATGGAATTGGGAGAACTGCAAAGTACAAGCCTCAAGCAAAAGATAACGTGGACTTAATATCTCTCTTATAAATAAGAGAGAAATACCTTTGTAGAATAACAAGCCATTGCACTCATATATGCAGGTAAAACTCTTTGTCGAGCCCTTTTCCATAGTGTATCTTCACAAGAAAAGCTCTATTTTTGTCTAGTTCTACAACCTTTATGGTTTTTCTGATTTTACAACACATTTAGACAAACAATAATTTTGCCCCACGACTCTTATGGGTAAACAAGGAATGATTAATGCGAAGTGTGAGATTTCTAGGTACTTATTTAAAATATTGTGTCCACATATAATGATATGTCATAAACAATGAGCACAGGTCAGAAGAGTTTGTAAAAAAATTATCACAACCCAGTGTCCGATTACATATTATTATAAACAAAGAAATAGAACAAACTCCACTAACGCTTTCAAGACTTAAAGAAAACTGTGCCACGAGTATAGAAATTTAAATAATGCATGTCTGTCATTAATAAAAATACCAGCTGAAGCACAATATAGAGAAGCATACTACCGTCAAACTATATGACGCTTCCACCTCACCCGGTTCTTAGTTGTGATTATAGCAACACCAAATTGGGTTAGAGCTTCAAATGTAGGGACGCTAACACTTATAATCTTTCCTGGGCTCCTGGGGAAAAAACCATGTCAAGCAACTTTTGAAACGCTTTTACCATAAAACAATAATTCTGGTTGACATTCGAAGTATTAACGACCAAAAGTCATTCAGTAGTGTGCATAAAAAAATGGCTGACTATAGAAACTTTCCACCATCGTTTTTCAAATATTTTCTGCACGTCTCATACCACGGCTTTATATATTAATTTATGATCTCCATTTTGTCTGCTTATTGGCTATACGGATTGAACATACGAAAAAGTGAAAGGAAACAGCATCCAAAGTCCCCCCCCTCCGCACCCAAAAGGAAAAATAGAGTTCAATATCACATCGTAAAACAATTTTGTCACTGAATGACTATGTCCAACTTCTGAACTATTTT